CATGAAGCTGATCTTTCTCGAGCTCCATCTCAAGGGGTTAGCTAATAAGAAACTGAAGGATCCTTCCTGGGATGAAATGGGGGGGGGGGGTGCTTTACTTATGGTACGCTTCCCCAAAGGGTGTTTTTTTTTAAAAGATTTATTTTTATTATTTTTTTATTGGAAAGGCGGATATACAGAGAGGAGAGACAGAGAGGAAGATCTTCCGTCCGATTATTCACTCCCCAAGTGAGTGCAACGGCCAACACTATGCCGGTCCGAAGCCAGGAGCCTCTTCCAGGTCTCCCACGCAGGTGCAGGGTCCCAAAGCCTTGGGCCGTCCTCGACTGCTTTCCCAGGCCACAGGCAGGGAGCTGGAAGGGAAGCGGTGCCGCCGGGATAGAACCGGCGCCCATATGGGATCCCGGGCGTGCAAGGCGAGGACCTTAACCACTGCACCACCACGCCGGGCCCCAAAGGGTGTTTTTAAAATGGATCTGATACATCACAGAATGACGTGCTTCCAAGGAACTGGGCACATAAGTGCCCCGACCTGTGGGGTCATTGTCTTGACACCCCTTCACCCTTGTTCTCAGCGCATCTTGCATGTCTCTTAGAGCAACCTATCACATTGCCTCCTCTGATTCTGGCCTGCCTTCTCTGCTTGCAAGACTGAGAGCACAACACCATGTTGTACTATTACTTGAAGGGAGGAGATGGGGAAGAAGAAGCATGAAGATGCTTAACTACTAAGTCATGAAACCGTAAATGGTAGATCTGGACCTAACTCGAGGCAGTTTGATTCTAAAAGCATGTTTCTACAGAATGCTCTTGTCTCTCTTCATGCAGCAGATGCTTAACAAATTAATATTTGGGGGGCCCGGCGCGGTGGCGCAAGAGGTTAAAGGTCCTCGCCTTGCACGCCCGGGATCCCATATGGGCGCCGGTTCTAATCCCGGCAGCCCCACTTCCCTTCCAGCTCCCTGCCTGTGGCCTGGGAAAGCAGTCGAGGACGGCCCAAAGCTTTGGGAACCTGCACCCGTGTGGGAGACCCGGAAGAGGCTCCTGGCTTCGGATCGGCATAGCATCGGCCCGTTGCGCTCACTTGGGGAGTGAATCATCGGACGGAAGATCTTCCTCTCTGTATCTCCTCTCTGTATATCCGCCTTTCCAATGAAAAAATAATAAAAATAAATCTTTAAAAAAAAACAAATTAATATTTGTAAGTGAATACCCATATGAATGTGATGCTTGAATTTGGAGAAATATGATGTGACCTGCGGCACACTGACGTCTTGCAGTACTGAGTGCAAATGGGGTGCAGTGGGGCCCCTCTGCTCTGCCATTTGTCACTATATATACTGGTGCAGGAGAGGCAGGTCTGAGCCTGTGTTTGTGAGCATGCAATGCAGAGATGCAAAAGGGGCTCTGCCTTTGCCACCGGCAGGCATCACTTACTCTCTCAGTGCCATTTTCCTGAGCTGGAAAATAGAAACAAAAATACTGTCTACTTCATACAGTTAATTCAGAATAAAGGAAACAACTTACTGAGAATAATCATAAGGAACATTCCTGGAACACAGTATTCACTCAACAAACATTAACAGATACTCTTAATTACAATTTTTTACTTCAAGCATCAATTGTAAAGCTTTAGAGTTGAGAACTATGCTTCTTGTCAGTACCAAGGAGTTTCACTTTAATATGAATGATATTAAATGACATTGCTGCAGCCTGAAGTCCAAATCACTAAACTTGGAACAGAGATGAATTTCGGAGGTCTATGAAGCATTCTCAGGGTCTTGGAGCCTTTGACTGATATCCATATCTTTATTCTATGATGCACGTCATGGGGTTCAGGAAGTCCAGACCGGGAGGAGCTGAGGTTGTCCCTGGTTGGTGTCAACCACTGGATAGGTTTGGAGTCTCAAAGAATACTGGGCTCAAAGGAGGAGTAGAACAGCCATATAATCAACGCTGTAGGGAAGTCACAGAAGTACTGAATGCCTAACAGTTAACAAGACCTATGGCTTGTTCAGTTGGCTTTGAGCTTGACACATAAGAGATTTTTCATTTATTCAACAATATTATTCAGCCAGGTACTTTTTTTGGGCCCAGGGAATCACTAATAACCCAAACAGATGAAGTCCTGAACATTTGAGACCGTTTATACCCTTTTGCACTGTCCTCCATTAAGAAGAGTCAACATAGCAACACTGAGAAGCAGGTGTTAGGATTTCCATGGAACGTATGAGGGAGCTGCAGCTCAGAGAGGTTAAATACCTGGTCTGAGGCTTTGTAACTGCAAGGTGGTGAGCTGGGATTTGAATGCAGGTCTTTCTGATCCTAAGATCTGTTTCCTTAGTGACAATATAGTACTGCCCCTCAAGAAATTAGCAAATGCTGGCTGTGTGTGTGTGTGTGTGTGTGTGTATTTGGAAGGAAGGAACACTTGTTAACTCAAAACTGTATCTGAAGAGTTGTCTTCGTTACATAGCAATAATTGTGATTATTGATTTTTAAAAATGTACGAAGCTTTATTTGTGATTTCTGTTCCTGAATTATGCTGATTTTGAACACAATGAGTTTGTGCTTGACAGCCCTCAACAAAAAGAACTTTATGGTTAGATTGGTAATGATCACCAGATGGAAACCCTGAAATACAGTGGTACATGTCTAAGGGTGCCTGCTTGGTAACCTATGTGTGTCCCCCAGAGCTGGACAAGGCCCATTGAGATGCTGCCCAGACTTAGGCAGTAGAAAGAGTAGGATGCTATAGTCCATTCAGGGCCATAGAAGGTGAACACAGAGCTAGTGGCCTGATACCCACCCATTGTTAGGCCTCTTCCTTGCCTATTTTCTGTGATTTGGGAAGGAGGCTTCACAGGCAGTATTCCAAATGCCACTGAAAGGGAGAAGGAGGGAAAACAATGGGTTGCTGAAATGAGGTATGGAGAGCCTAAAAGTAATGCTGTATCCTGGGTCAAGGCAGTGGTGGTCTCCTTGTGTTTGCAGGGAATACTCTTGATTCTGGGATGCACATCCACTGTGTAGCTTGACAAGTCTCTCACTCCATCTGTTCATTCAGAACATTCACTCAATCTGGTGCCCTCTGATTTCATCAACATAATTTTACAATTCAAGGGTAGCGTGGTCAAGCTGAAGGGACATCATAGTGGGACGTCAGGAGACGTCTAGCCTGTGGCTCTGCCCCAGCTGGCACTGGGACCTTGCCAAAGAGCCTTCTCTACTGCGTTTTCCTTTTGTCACCCATGAAGTGAAGGCCCTAGAACTGGGTGTTTGTTTCCTGGGATCCCTTCTAACTCTAAAGTTGTGAGTTTGTCATCTGAGATTTTTAATTTCCATATTCTGTATTCATAACCACACTTTGTTTCTTTAGTGCAGCATTATGTCTGCTGCTATCAGAGCCCAGGTCTTTAATGTCTCATAACCATATGCTATTAAATCAATGAGTGACTATGAAAGAAATAATGAAGAAATGCAACTGCTTGTAAAAATGCTGGTGTGGGGCCCGGCGCGGTGGCGCAAGTGGTTGGGGTCCTCGCCTTGCACGCCCGGGATCCCATGTGGGCACCGGTTCTATCCCGGCAGCCCCACTTCCCATCCAGCTCCCTGCCTGTGGCCCGGGAAAGCAGTCGAGGACGGCCCAAAGCTTTGGGACCCTGCACCTGCGTGGGAGACCCGGAAGAGGCTCCTGGCTTCGGATTGGCATAGTGTTGGCCGTTGCGCTCACTTGGGGAGTGAATCATCGGGCGGAGGATCTTCCTCTCTGTCTCTCCTCTCTGTATATCTGCCTTTCCGATAAAAAAAATAATAAAAAAATAATAAATCTTTAAAAAAAATGCTGGTGTGACTTCCTGACTTTGGCTCCCTGTTTTAGTGTGAATTGCTGGAATTGACATAATTGGTATGAAATGTTAGAATGATGTATGCACACAGAACTCAGTTTCAACCCACTGTTGGTGCTGCTGCTGTAGTTAGACATGTATACTTTGTTTTCACAAATACAGAAAAGTATCAGATGATTTCACAATCATTTTCTTACTAGTGAAAATTTTTTTCATGTTACCAATGTCCTTATTTAATTTAAATGGCCCAATCCTATTTGTTGAAAAGTTTACAGTAATTGATGTGACTACTCCCTTATTCTTGACCTTAAAGTTCTATCAAATTTTTCCAAATCGTGCAGAACATAAATATATATAATTTATCTAATCTATTTTTTAAGAAAAGTTAGTGCTTTATTAATGGGAAAATGTTTTTTCACAAGAAATGCTCATTCCATGACACAAAGGATCCTGCTTGTGTAAGCTATGAGAATAGAGACGTCAGCACAGGAAACGAAGAGTAGGGACTGAGGGTGTCCCAGCGTGGCTTTCCACACGAGAAAAATGACAGCAACCACTATCACCCTTGTTGTTGCTGAACGAGAGAAAAATCATGCTTTAAACCTAAAGCAGTGTTATTCCTCTTTACAAAAAAAAAAAAGGCAGGAAAAAGTAAGGGACCAGGTTATTTGGGAAGAGCATCCAGCCAGAGACGGGCTTTTAACCTTAAATCTCGCCTTTGCTATGTGGCCTAAGACAAGATGCTTGATTCTGCATCTTGGTTTATTTTTATAAGTCAAAATATTAACATTAGTATTGATATTACCCCCATCAGTAGAGGCTTGGAAAATGGAAATAGGGGAGGAGTGAGCATTAAATTAAATAACAGGTATAAAACTCATTGAAGCATTGAAGTCAGTGTTGTAGAGAAGTGAGTTATGGAGATATGGGGTCACTGGTTTTCTGTGTGCTGTTTTCTCTCTGCAACTGTGTCCTGGAATGCTTCTAGTGATGGTTTTTGAGACACCACTGTTGAGGAATAAAAACAGTAACTCAATCCTCTACTATTTGAATGCTTTTTTATTTTTAATCCTTGCCAGATGTAGACTGGCAGTGAGCCCAGAGACCAAGCACTTGCTGATAGAGGTAGTTTTGTTCTTGTTTCCCTTCTAGACAAAGAATTCTTGAAGGAAAAAGAGAAATTAGAAATGGAGTTAGCAGCAGTACGGACTGCGAGTGAGGATCACCGGAGGCACATTGAGATCCTGGACCAGGCTTTGAGCAACGCCCAGGCCAGAGTCATCAAGCTGGAAGAGGAGGTGAGACTGACTTGGGGAGGGAAACAGAAATCCCGAGGACTTCCACTTCGTTTTCCTACCCAGCTACTTTAACCAGAGCCAAACTTAAGGAGCTGAGCATAGGAGGGATATGGGAAATATCCTGAACAAAAATAATGAGAACAGATTACTGCATCTCAAAGCCACGAAAATATGAGAAGCAGCCATGAATACCCTTGTGAGAGAACTCCCGCTCAGCCGGAAGTCCAGCCTCCAACTGTTGGTTGGCAAATGTCCAGGGCTAGGGAAAAAATGGAGGGACTAGAAAACACTGGTGCCTCACAGAAAAGAAAATTAACAATTTTTTTTTAATAGTTCAGTTGTCCTTGGGTCAGCAGATCTGTCTCACATTTTCAGAAGTTGACTGGATCAACCACGCAGTATCCCTCTAGGCCCAGAAATTTTGATCCTGTTGAAGCATTATGGGTTTAGTAGCTGCTAATGGAATCCTCTTCAGCTCACAGAACTTTCAACCTATGGCACAAGAACCTGTCCTTTCAGGCGATGTCCTGCTGTTTGGTCACTCAGATGTTTCCACCAGCCTTCCCTGCAAGGGTAGTGCTGCTAAACAGAATAATCAGTGAGTAAAGCAGGGTCTTGCCCATAATCAACCATTTAAACTCCCCAAGTCTTATATAGAAATGACAGTTTTAATACTTGCAGGAAAACCCTGGGTAGGAGCCCGGAGTATCTTCCTGGTTGCCAGAAAGGAAGTGGCTAAATAGGAAGATGTTTTCTGCAGCAATCAGTGGACAGAAAGTCAACCTTGTGGAGGGCGCACCAATTCTCGTTGTTATTATCCTAGAGGTCACTTCTGAAAGCTCCACCTCTGTCTGTGGTCCTAAGAAAAATGATCATAAATTTAAAAATTATAATTTTTAAAACATTTTTAATATTTCTATTAAAGTAAAAGTTATTTATGACCTCCTTAAAGACAGATTCTTGAGCATCACCATATGTGAAACCTTTGGTTGCCCGTAACCTCCCTAAAATCATCTTCCATGTCTCTGGCTGGTAGACTCACCTCTTGTTCTTACTACAGGGCCTTCTGGAGGGTCCTCCTTCAGATCAACTTACCCTGACTTTCCATGGTGATTCAGAGTGCTGTGAAGAGCCAGGTTCTTGTATCAGTATCAACTATGTGACTCTGAGCAAGTCATTTCACCTGTTCAGTCCTCCGTGAACCAGAGGATGGGAGATGTTTCTGTCTTTCCTTCTCTCAGTAAATCTGATTTTCCAATAAAAACAAATCTTTTTTAAAATATGCAAAATTGATGTGCCTTCCTTAAAAAGTTAGAAATTCCTCTGTTTTATTCCAATGGCTTTGGATAAGAGAGGGGACAAAGACAGCTCACGGCCGTGCTGCCAATGAAGTCATCAAGCTCAATCACTAGCCTGTTCTGACTTGCCAGTTTAATCAGGGGTTAAAGTCAGGGCTGAATCACCAGCAAGGCATCTGCATACCCAGGTGCAGAATGACAGGAAATACCATCTGGTGTATTCTTGCCCAGGACTAGATCAAGTTAATACTCTTGCCTGGTTTTTGGTACGCATCAGTTTCCAGAAAGTTAGAAATGTGCCCAGGATTTATGACCATGGTCTCAACTCCTAACTGGAGGAAAACAAACTCTGAGGGTAAGAGTTTGAAATTTTTGGCCATAATCTTAAGTCTGTGCCTGTTGTGATATTTACCTACGTTTTATTTTAACCTTAATGTATTTGTACTCAGTTAAGTTGCAAGAGTGTTGGTTAGGTCCTCCCTGACTCTTCAGGGCTGTCACTTGTCTCCAGAAGACTTGGTGATCTTTATGAGAAAGTTACTCTATTAACATTAATCAAAAGAAATGATTATGTTTATTCACACATACACAGGTGGATCCACATGCATGTGTATACACATGTATAATTTGTCCCTTATAAAAGTAATTTATGTTTGTCGTGGAAATTTTTAAAAAATGAAAAGAACAAAGAAAAAAATTGCTATATAGATATACATTGTTAACACTTTAGGTATTTCCTTCCAATATTTTTTAATGAATGAATGGATAGAGAAGTAAATAGGCAGGCATGTTTGTCTTCAGTTTATAGAATGTTTTAAAATTTGTTTGCTTGTTTGAAATGCAGAGTGACAGATAGGGAAAAACAGTGAGAAAGAGAACACTTTCATCTTCTGGTTCACTTCCCAAATCGTTGCAAAAGGCCAGGCTAGGCCAAGCCACACCAGGATCAGCAGGAAGCTGAATTAGGGAATGTGGGATGAAACTAGGCTGAAACTGGCACTCACTTTGACATGGGATGCTGGGTGTCACAAGCAGCAGCTTAACTTGCTTTACTGCAATGCCTGCTCTTATTTAGTATAGAAGTTTTTGATTCTAAAGTTTTCATTTGATCCAAAATATTAAGGATTTATTCACAATACTAAAAAAATTTCATTAGCCTCTTTTAATACTTGTAAATACTAGTGTTATTAAGCAGTAACCAAGCTGTGCAAATTACCAACAGTGGATACTAGGGTGAGGTCTTTATTTCCAAGTAGCCTAGTCATTTGAAGTGTAACTGACAACTTTGTATAAATCTTTTCTGTCTCAGCAAACCTGAAGGATAGGAATTGTGGGGTACATGCACCTGTGGTTTGAATACGATTTCCAGGTAATCTGCCTGCCACCTGCACCCCAACACTGAAAATCATTGATCTAAACTCTCTTCTTTTTCACTCTTCTCCACTCAGTTACGAGAGAAGCAAGCATATGTTGAGAAAGTTGAAAAGTTGCAGCAGGCCCTGACCCAGCTGCAGTCTGCATGTGAGAAGCGAGAGCAGATGGAGCGGAGGCTGCGGACCTGGCTGGAGCGAGAGCTGGATGCACTGAGAACCCAACAGGTAAGGCAGCTGGGCCAACAGGTGATTTGGACATGATCATTCAGCAGAGTAAAAAACTCCTTCTGAAGGCTAGGTTCTGTGCTCTGCCCTAATAATTCAAAGGGAAGCCAAAACTCCCTGTCTTCAGGGAGCCTACATTGCCACCAGAGGAGGAGTCTGCCAGCCTTCCACTTATTGTGGAGTGACAGAGAGAAGGTAGCTACCGACTTGGGCTGGGGAAAGAAGAATGCCGTAGGGGAGAGATATGTGCTTTAAATGGCTTCAGAGAAGAACACATCTGAGCTGGACTTTGAAAGGTGAATTTCTGAGCATTCCAAGGCATACTCATCAGAGGGAGTTCAAGGAAGGGCATGGGAAAGTGAAGGGGCCATGGACCAATATGTCAAGTCCAAGGCAGTTTTGAGCCACTAGTTAGTGGAGGATGCCTGTTGGGGTGGCTGGTGAGGAGGTCATGCCAGGGAGGACATTTGGTCAAGTGGTGAGGTGAGGGTTCTTGCTGTAGTCAGTAGAGAACCAGCACCAAGGAGGCTTTTAAAACAAAGAAGAATGTGATGCAAAGGCTTAGAGAAAGAGCCCTCAGTCATGCCAATGGACAATCTGGAGTGTGGATGATTAAGTCAAGGGCCAAGCCCCAAGGCTTAGTGTCCTCTAAGGTGTGGTGACAGTGGGAACTCAGAGCAGTGGAAAGAAAGCACTGGTGAGGGTTGACAGTAGTGACTGGAGGTGATGATCGGTGAGTTTCCAGAGGTAAGCAGAAGAACCAACTGCAGCCCTAGGAAGTGACCTTGGCCATGAGCAAGCTGCTATCCTTCTGCCTCACCTTCTTTACGGGAGCGGGTGAAGTAATTTAGCAATGAGCAAGCACAGAGTGAAGCATCGCAGTCTCAGCCCCATTCCAGGCCGGTCAGAGCCTCTGGCTGTAGACAAGCCTGGCTTGGCCCATCATCAGCCAGCCTGGTGGGCAAAGTCCTGTATACCTCTGCTGAAAAGTGTGCTCTAAGCTAGGATACCAGGGCTACTCAACGCAGAGCTCCATGGGGCTATCTACAGAACAGGGCCTAGTGGTTGTGTTTGAGACACTTGAAAACACTTGAAAGTGTGTACTCAGGCAAGCTCAGCTCTCTCGCAGTGCAGGCCCATGCAGTTTGTGCTGCTTGTGGGCACTTTGCTGGAGATAGAGATGTGACTAGGATTGCCCAAAAAAATTTAGGCATCCACCCCAGCTTCCTACCATCTTGCATATTGTAGCTGGACATCAAACATGTGTAACTTGTGTCACATGTGCTGGCTTGAATCGTACCCTCCAGTTGTCCTGTGTTGCTCAGTCACTAGATCTCCACCTCCCTAACCTGAAGGCAGGACTTCTGTGGGACCAGGCGCAGCAATGGCCTGTAGTAGACCTTGAGACTGGTAGACTGGGATGACAAAAGAGGGACATCTCAGGGTTTTTTTTTTTTAATTGTAAGTTTAATTGGAAAGTCAGATTTACAGAGAGGAGAGACAAAGAGAAAGATCTTCCATCCTCTGGTTCACTCCGCATTTAAAAGGCCACAGCAGCCAGAGCTGAGCTGATCAAAAGCCAGGTGCTTCCTCCAGGTCTCCCATGCAGACACAGGGTCCCAAGGCTTTCGGCCATTCTCTGCTGCTTTCCAAGGCTGGAAGCAGGGAGCTGGATGATAAGTGCAGCAGCTGCTACACTAACATGGGATGCCGGCGCTTGCAGGTGAAGGAGTAGCCAGTGAGCTGCTGTGCCAGCCCCGGCACATCCCATTTTTAAAGCTGCATGACCAGACTCAACTCCATTGTTATTACCATGTATCAAGAAGAGCTGTTGAAGTTAAAATCCTGAAAAGATATCTTCATGGCTGCAGAGGACAGTTTGCACACATACCCTGAGACCTGTGCTTGCTCAGTCACATAATTCCCTCAAACCAGCCAGAGCAGCACTCCTGCCATGCCTAAAAGCAACTGATACCTTCAGGCGTGTGTGTGAAGAGCAGAAATTGCTAAATTGAAGCTCCCCAGGGAAATTACCCTCCTTGTATTCTGGATGTGTCTTTGAGAGCTGATGGCAGATCTGCAGCTGACATGAGGCGGAGTGCAATCTTCAGGACCAATTAGAACATTGATGCTTGACGTGTGTTTCAAAATAGTGCCACAGTGTTCAAAAGATGAGATATACATCCACCTCCTGGCATAGGAAATGCACTCAGAGAGTCCTGTTGTGCTTATCTACACATTAAAAGGTAAATTATTTTCAGGCTTTTCCTTTAATAAAATTTTCTAATTTTGCAGTGAGCATATTCTAACAAAAGGGAAACATATTATTTCAGAAAAAAATCCACCCCCAAAATCTTGAGTTTTTCTCTAGGTGAAATCTAGTTATACTCAGATCTGGAGCTGGTGGACTGGTACAGAAAGCACCAGTGTGCCAGCCCTCACCAGGCATGACCTGAGTCCACCGTAGAACACTGTCCTCTAGAAGACTTGGCCTTTCTAGGTAACACTTTGTATGGACCCCTCTGATCTCCTCGCTCACCCTTGTGCAGCTCCTGCTTGCACCTGCACAGATAGGGCAGCAGGGCATGCCGCCTTGCCCCCTACACTCCCAGTCCCCTCACGTGAGGCCCCTCTAGAAAGGATGCTGAGCCCACACTGTAATAAAGCCCCTCATTACCCCATGTTCAACATAACACTGCTGTGCTAATTTCTGAGGCCATTCCTTTGGGGAGGGTAGCATTAACACCCTCTACTCCCAATATGAGGGCTCTGCCTTTGGACTAACTCTGCCTTTAGAACACAGCAGAGCTTCCAAATCTAACCCAACAAATAGAGCTCCCATTGCTGCACAATGTCTTGGGTGCTTCCAGGAGGCAGTTCTACCAGCAATGAGCAGAGTGGCATGGAATCCTGGAGGGAATCGGAGCGCAGGCTCCAGAGTTAGAGCTGCCGGGGTTGACTCATGCCTCCTCCTTCCAGAGAAGTAGCCTTGGGTGAGTGCTCTTTCTGAGCCTCAGTATCCTGGTCTGTAACATGAGGAAGTTCTGGCAGCTCCATTTCCCATCTGGCTCCCTGTCAGTGCATCTAGCAAGGTGGCAAAATATGGCCCAAGTGCTTGAGCACCAGCATATCATTTGCAAGGTGCAGACAGAGTCCCAGGCTCCTGGCTTTGGTCTGGCCCCATCCTGGCCGTTGCAGCCATTGGAGGAAGAGTGAATCCACAGTTCAAAGTTATCTCTTTTTGTAATCACCCCTACGCTCTTTGGGACTCTGTTTTTTTAAAATAAATATTTAAAAAACTGCACAAAATGCTTACCACAGTGCCTGGCACTTAGCATTCCACTAAAAAAGAAACTTCCATTGCTAGTCTTAACTACTGTTGTGCTTCCACACTAATCCTGCTGTGAGGTGCAAGAGAGAAGAAAGGAATGTTCTGGAGAAAATGAGGCCTAGAGAGATGAAGTGACCATGGACTATTAGGGCATTCCTCCCATATGAACACATCAAGAGCAAAGATTTTATCTGTGGTGTTTGCTGATACATCCCCAGCACATGGTACGTGCTCAGTAAATATTTATGCACCACTGGGTGAGATGCAAAAACTGCCCTGACGTTCAGTGTCTTCTCTAGCTAGCACATTTGTCCATTAACCCATGCTTTCTCTGTGCACCTGAACACTGAAAGGCAGGCATTTATTTAAATACCTTTTAATGGCCTGAATTTGGGGACCTGTGAAGAGTTGTCATGATGTTATGTGAGGTCAAGAAGATTTTGCAAAAGCAAACCAGCTGAAATGTAACAGAATGGATTAGATAGAAACTGACAGGCATCGATGGCAGCTAAGGAAAGCAAGGGAGCTTTCTTTCTTGGAAAGTTTCTAAAAATAAGGGAATATCTCATCTCGATGGACTGGTTCATTTGTCCCCTTGCCTGAGTCTGGGGTGACTGGCCAGATGGGGTCAGTGGCTCCCTGCAGGCTGAGTGAGAACAGGTATGTGCCTTCTGCTCTGTTCTTCCTTAAATGTTGGTTGTTGGCAAGCAGCCACTTCTGAGAATCATTTCCATTTGTGGTTTTAAAACATTGAATAGGAGCATACGGTTTACAAAAAGCCCGGAGGCCCGTGTGTTCTCTTCGGTCTGGCAGGTCTAGAGTCCATTGGTGGAGTGCAGGATGCCCAGCTGTTCCTCTTAGGACATTAGGGGCTTCTGTGTGAAGCTTTTGGATACCTCTCACCCAGCAACAAGCTTTGCTTTTGATATTTGCAGTCACTGGGAGACAGGAGGGGATTGTGGGTCTCAGGCTGTAGAGTAGCCAGGAGAGAATCATTCTCTGCTGGTGTGTGAAGTAACCCCAGATCATGCGGGGACTGGGCCCCTGACCCTGAGTTCCCACGATGACTTGTCTCCACTGCTGGTCTCAAGACCATACCTTGTTAAAGCCCAGTATCCTCTACATCATGCTGTTGAGAGGAAATAGGAAATAATTAAAAGCAAAGTCTGTAAACATCATCAGCTTGTTTACAATCCAGATGGCAACTGCTTTATTAACGAAAGGCTAAAACATGAGCTTGCCTTTCATCCATGTGCTTGTGCTTCCATGATTTCTTTATTTCTCACTCTCAGCCCTTCGGATAGGAGAAATGTTGATGCCTTTGGTGCCTCCCCTCCCACCTAGGAACATCACAGCTCCCGGGGGCATGCCTGTTAGGGCGTGTTGCTGCCACCTCCCCTGTTTCCACTTTACCTCTCAGAATCAGGGGGATACAGACAACTGGGATCATTTCCTTGAATTCTGGAATAGGTGTTCTAGACTGAGAGGCCAAATCTGAATTCCCATTCCTACTTTTGGTATAAATTAACTACCAGGCATTGGACAAGCTGCTTGTTGTGTAAAGACCTTGAGCCTTGTAGTCAGAGAAAGCTGGAGTTGAATTTTGACCTTGCTATTGATGAGCTAAGAGACACCAAACCATTCATTTAACCTTCCAGAAACTTTGGTTTCTTGTCTGTGAAACTGAGGGCATATATTGTGTTTTATAGAGTTTCATGGGCTTTGAATGAGACAGGAAAGTAGAAGTGAGGTGGTCTGGTGGTAGGATCTACTGAATCAGGATTGCAACACAGCACTCCGGCAACAAGGCCACAATGCTGATATGTGTAAACTGCTGTAAGGTCTAGGGAAGCCATATGATCCTTACGTACAGCTTCACAGACTGGGTTCATGTGGTCTAGTTCATTGTGCATTTTGAGCAGCAAGATCTCATTTCTGCTTCTCCAGAAACATGGAAGTGGCCAGCCAGCCAACATGCCAGAGTATAATGCTCCAGCCCTTATGGAACTCGTGCGAGAGAAGGAGGAACGGATCCTGGCCCTGGAAGCTGACATGACGAAGTGGGAGCAAAAGTACCTGGAGGAGAGCACCATTCGACACTTCGCCATGAATGCTGCAGCCACTGCTGCAGCGGAGAGGTGAGAATGTGGGACTCTGCAGGGCACAAAGGCACAAGGGAAATATCAAATCCAGCTAACAGGGCCCCTCCTGGGGAGTGAGGTCAGCTCACCATCTTTTTTTTTTAAGGTTTATTTATTTATATTGGAAAGGCAGATATACAGAGAGAAGGAGAGACAGAGAAAAAGATTTTCCATCTGCTGGTTCACTCCCTGAGTGACCATAATGGCCTGAGCTGAGCCGATCCAAACCCAGGAGCCCGAAGCCTCTTTCAGGTCTCCTGCACGGGTACAGGGTACTAAGGCCTTGGGCCGTTCTCAACTGCCTTCCAGGCCACAAACAGGGAGCCAAAGGGAAGTGGAGCAGCTGAGATTCAAACCAGCACCTGTATGGGATCCCAGTGCTTTCAAGGTAAAGATTTAGCCAGTAGATCATTGTGCCAGGCCCAGTTGACAGTCACTTAAAAGGCCATGCTGCAGGTTGTGGATGAAGGTAGTAAAACATTTCTGGAGGATAATTTGGTTCCAAACTTCTAGCGCTCAACATTTATCTTGAGGACATTATTACATGAGTGCCTGAAGATATATGTTCAAGGATATTCACTCCTAGGTGTCGAAAACATCAGTCATTTAAAACAGTCTATAATGCAACAAGAGGGGATTCATTTAGCAGTGTAAAGCACACCCACACAGTGGCAATACTGTGGGATCATGAAAAATGATGCTGTGACGATGTAGTAGGAATTTTTTAATCCAGGGTCAGATGAGAATTTATGAGCCTCATAGCAGTGTTGTAAGTGAAGAAAATGAGATTTTTCAGTAATTTATCCAAACTTGTCTAGGAGGATGTGCTGGGGCCACAGGTCAAATGGAGGCTTGTTTCACTCAAAATCCAACTTCATCTAATTGGAGAATGTTTTCTGATGCTGTCTGTATTTACCACTGATGCTCTATTTTCTGTAGATGCACAGCCTCATTCTTCCTGTAATAATGAGCTCAAGGGGTGTGAGCTCAGGAATTTTGCTGAAATCCTGTTCTGCCTGGGCGAGTGAGGCAGTATCTCCTTACCTTTGGGTTGGAGGATCTCCCCCCGGCCTTGCTACTGCACGAGCCTGGCTGCCTGTGCACTGAACCAGTGAAGCCCCCACCCTTGCCTCTCCCTCACTTCACTTTCTGCACATTAGTGATTTTGGTCATTTGAAGTTGTTCAGAATTTCCCAACATTTATGGGTCTGTTGTACTTGGAGAAGTGCCTCAAATTTCAAAGGAGCTTCTCGGGAAAAAAGGACTGTTGTGGTACCATTAGGGCTTGCAGGATGTGAGCCAAGCAAGAGGAGTAAAAGTCTAGGATGCAACTGCTCGCGGAGTCAGTTTCACCTTGCCTTGAGATGGGCTATTTCTTCCTTAGAGTGTGAGAAGACAGGTTGGAATGGAGGGGAGACAGTTTTAAAGCTGTCTATGGGCACTCAGGTTCGTTACTCAAGTAGAGAAGAGTGCCCAGGAGTCTGCCCAGATGACTCCAAAAGCTGAAGAAGGCAGAGTCATCATTTGGGCACAGGCATCCCCAGCAGGTACCCCAGGACACTTGCACCCAGAAAGACCTGCAGACACACATGGAACATGACCATTTTGGAATCATTTTCCAGTGCTCGCGTGTTGTCCATAGATGTTTATGACAGTAGTGGAATATACAACTAATATCATCTGAGTGTCTGAGGAATAAAACACATATTTGAGTCAGCTACAGACAGCTCTGTAGCTGTTGGGTGAGAAGGAGACAGAAGGTATAATCACCAGTTGAGGCATTGCACCATGTCGATGGGAACAGTGGAACCCTCTGAAATACACCTTCCCAAAGTCAACTCTTTATTTTCTAAGCTAATGACTAAGTCACTTCTGTGTTCTAGGCAAACAATAGTAGTGTTCTAGAGGACTTGGTCTTCTAGAAGACTTGATCAGCTTTGGAGCTAATGCATGACTGTTAACAATTGCCCTGCATGTTCCCTTCCTCTGTGTGGTGTTCAGTGGAAGGACCCTACACAGGGAGGCAGAATACCTAAAGGCAAGGCGTCTTGCCCTGTCACTGACTGTGAACGTGTGATGGGAGACAAGCTCGTCTAAATGTGACAGACATCATTAAGTGAAATGGAAATCATAGCTCTGCCCTGGTTAAGGACAGGGAGCCTGACTGAGACACGAAGGCCCCAGTAGCACTGCTGATGTGTTACCTTGGAGGCCGGAGTGGGGACCTTTTTGTGGTCTTGCTTTTAGCAGAGCACAAGTCTGTTTGCCATTCTGAACACTGATCACAAGAGTGGAACTAGGATACACAAGTGATGGAGCGAACAGGTCCACAGTGTAGACCCTGTGGTGAGGGAATAAACAGCTCTGCAGTGTAGACCCTATGGTGGGTTTAAAACTGAAGGTAGCAGTGAATAGAGCCAGGCAGAACCACAATAATCTCCCAGCAGCAGATTCTAGGCACATATTACTTCATCTTTCTTGCACTGGAGTATGAAGGGTACTCAGACAACAGGAGCACTGTGGGATTTATCTATTTCAGTCTAAAGTTCATATACTAACTAAAATATCTGAGAGGATCATCTTATGAAAAAGAAAGGCTTATTTTGGTTTTCAGTTTTGGAGGTCTGAACAATCCAAGACAGACAGTCCCAATAACCTGGCATTTAAGGAGGGCAGAAGACAAAGAGAAGGATCGCGTGGTGAAACAAGATCTAGGAATAGGGAGTAAACTCTTCCTCTATCCTCTGTGTGGTCTCCCCTAAATGCTTGCATGGTTTTGGGGAGCCAAGTCCTGTTTGAGCCCTGTTGAGACCCAATACTAACCTTGTGTCTCCCCTCCAGTGCCCTGGGTGATGGATGAATGAATGGAATGATGGATGGAAATTTTAAGTTCTTTTCAAAGAACATCTTTGTAATTTCACCTGTGCTTTTCTATTGCCAGTAAGGGGAAAAATGGAAAATGAAACATTTGAGAAATGTTGAAGCTCTGATCTCTGCTAAATAGCTAGAGATAAAAATGACTTTCTCTGGTTACCAGTTCTATGACTTTTTAGCCAATGATGCATACATTACATTTATAAGCAATAAGTTTTAAACAACAAAGGTAATTTTTGCACACTGAACTGGCTTTGCTACTCTATGCATCTCAGTACTAGCAATCATACATTGTAGAAGTTGGGTTTATTTTATATGTGAAGGGAAGGTTTTGAAGCTTCCTACAGATTTCAGAGTGATACATTTTTCCCCCAGAATTTAGTATCTAAGTTGTTTTCATCTAACTCTGCCTGCTTGACAGTATAAACAGAACAAACATAAATTTTTAAAATTGTCTCTATGTGAATTTTTCAAAAGTAATATTGAAATATTGAAACTGTTTCTAGTTATTTAATGCTGTATTGATGATTTTTGTGCACTGTAGAATGAATTCGTATTTTCATAAATATATTTAAAGATTGTTGTTTGCTTTCAGCACATGTTGACTTCATGATACATTTTCAGACACAGCTTTCTTTTTTGAGCCACATTCTCACAGATGCTGTCTTGTTTATTGTGTCTTTATGCATCTTTGCTGAAGCCTTCTTCACAAAGACAAATGAAACTTACAGGAATATAGAATGCCTGTTACGGACCTGGATGTGGGGAGCATAAGTACCTAAGGTTGAATTCATTTCCATTCTTCACACCTAGGTCTTCTTGGAAAAGTCACCCTTCCTGGGGTCTCCATGTGTACACTGAGGATAGTCATCCGTACTGCCTATGATGTAGGGATGGAAGGGGCAGCCATGAGCACCAGGTTCTACCCAGACCCAGTGAGAAACTCATGGTCCATCATTGTTTGGGGTCACTGAATAGAAGAAATAAATCCTGTGCTGTCTTGGGTGTCCTAGCAAAGAGCTCTGAGGTTTTCAATATGATTGTGACCATGAAATGTGACATTAAAGGTATTAAATATTTAGTTAAATCATTAATTTACCATTCATAAAATCAGAGGCAATAAGATCTTCCGCTTAAGATCTACTACTCAGGGCTCGGCGGTGTGGCCTAGCGGCTAAAGTCCTCACCTTGAACGCGCCAGGATCTCATATGGGCGCCAGTTCTAATCCTGGCAGCCCCACTTCCCATCCAGCTCCCTGCCTGTGGCCTAGGAAGGCAGTTGAGGACAGCCCGAAGCTTTGGGACCCTGTACCCGTGTGGGAGACCCGGAAGAGGTTCCTGGTTCCTGGCTTCAGGTCGGCATAGCACCGGCCGTTGCGGTCACTTGGGGAGTGAATCATCGGACGGAGGATCTTCATCTCTGTCTCTCCTCCTCTCTGTATATCTGACTTTGTAATGAAAACAAATAAATCTTAAAAAAAAAAAAAAGATATACTCAAATGGCAGAATTATCTTTGTACTAATTTACTAATTGCTGTTCATTAGAAGTGAGTAAATTGAAAAAACAAGTGGCCAGAATAGTTATTTTTGATCACTTTTTTTAAAAAGATTTATTTGTTTATATTGGAAAGACAGGCTTTTTGTTTTAACACTCACAGAGAGACAGAGGGAAAGAGCGATCTTCTTCCTCTGGTTCATTCCTCAAATGGCCACAATGGTTGGAGCAAGGTTGGTCTGAAGCCAGGAACGTGAAACATCTTTCAGGTCTCCCACGTGGGTGCAGAGGCTCGGGGGTGAGGGCCATTCTCCATTGCTTTCCCAATCTATCAGCATGGAGTTGGATTTAAAAGTGGAGCGCCAGGGTGGCAACCGCTGCCCATATGAAATGTTGGCGCTTATAGGCAGAGGATTAGCCAGTTATCACAGCAGCCCCTTTGATCACTTGTGTTCAGTCAGACACCTGCTTCTATCTGAAGGGAATTTTCATCTACCTGTGTCACGCACCTCAGTTAGACTTTCCAAGGACACAATGTCTATCTTCTTTCCTGATGCCTAGCATGTCTGTTACATTGAACCAACCTGAACCACAGCCCAAGTGAATAAAACAAGAATTGAGACAGAATTCATCTGGAGAAAGAATTCAGCTTGGAGTCTCTCTGTCCAAGAGGGCTAGCCTTTGTTTCAAGTACTCACTGAGCCCCTTTTTACTGTAAAATACTGAACTAGCCGGGCAGGCGTGTGGCACAAAGGTGAAGCCCTCCTGGGGATGTCCACATACTTTTCTTGAGTTCCTATATGTGAGTCCCGTCTCTCCTCCCCATTTCACTCCCCTGCTAATGCACATGAGGCGATGCAGCAGATAACAGCCTAAGCGGTTGACTTCCTGCCACCTACACAGAAGACCTGAAGTGAGTTCCTGGATCTGGGCTTCAGCCTGCCCAGCTCTGGCTGCTACACAGGGGGAGCAAACCAACACATGGAAACTCTCTGCGTCTCTGGTTTTCAAATAAACAAGAGTAATAAATAAAATTTTGAAAGCTGAAAATAGAATTTTAACACTGGAAAAATGTGACAAGACAGGTATACAGAAATATAGTCCCAGAAACACCAACAAATACAATGGCAGCAACAGTATCCACGTGTCAGTAGATTAAAGCTATAGGTGCTTAATCTGCATATAAGCAACTTGTCATATAGCTTAATGCACAATGTTGTTTATTAGTAGAAAGACAGGAAATTTTGATTTGAGGATTTTATTTTGTTTTCCCAATATACCGCGTAATTCTTTCAGATTTAGGAATGGAATTGCCTGTGCTCATATGAGATGCCAGTGCTGTAGGAAGTAGCTTTACCTGCTATGCCACAGTACCAGCCCCTAACAATTTTTTTCAACATGGTAGCCTTTGGCTGGCTATTCACGACTGTTTGCTAAGTTCTATGTGGTAGCACCTGACCAGATTGGAAACTGAGCTGAGGAAGTAGAGTACTAAGGTCTGTAGATGCCGGTAGGGTGTGAGTAGCAGACAGGTGCTTTGACGTAGATCCCATTCTTGCCATTCTGAGTGTGTTTAGCTTGAAATGAACAAGCAGGCTGTCTGTGACCCAGTGCTCACCCCGTTGTTCCCAGAGACACCACAATCATCAACCACTCTCGGAATGGCAGCTACGGAGAGAGCTCCCTGGAGGCTCACATCTGGCAGGAGGAAGAAGAGGTGGCACAGGCCAACAGGAGGTGCCAAGACATGGAATACACGTAAGGAATGACCGCATGTGCTGGCGCTGCAGCCACTGCCCTGACCACTCACCTACAGACCCTGAGTGTGGCCTGCCAGCCCTTGGTGACTCTCTCACTCCAACTCTTCTGGAGGCAGCTGCACCTCTGGCCTGGCTGGGCAGCTGTGAACTTGAGGTCTCCAAAAAACTCGTGTGGCTTTGGGTTTTATTTTTGGCCACCTGGGGAGAAAATTTGTCTTCCAGATAATCTGTCCATCTCTCTTGCTTTTTCTCTTAGAAAATAGGAAAGTTGACTTTAGTTAGAAGCTCACTCTCTTTGAGGCTTCAGAGGACTCCGTGCTTCCTATTGCTCTTCACTACCTATTCCCAGTACTAGCTTCGCAGAGTGCTCTGTCAGCCCGTCTTGACCCAGTAGGTGGCATGGCCCTTCTCACTGTGCTGCTCAGAAGGCCCGGAGTCTCTACCGGTGCTCAGGAGATGCAGCCTTTTGATCTCTTACTGATGATCCATCTTCTGTAATTTAGAGGTTAGGAATGCTTGATGATCTATAAAGCACTTGACTCCCATATCTGGGCCAGAGCAAAGTGCCCGGGATGACTCTAGAGGAGAGATTCTAGTTCTAACCAGATGTGATTTTCTTACCTACTGGCTCTTTGTTCAACACTGTTTTCTGTGTCTTGCAGTATTAAAAACCTGCATGCCAAAATCATAGAGAAGGACGCCATGATTAAAGTCCTTCAGCAGCGATCCCGGAAAGATGCTGGGAAGGCAGACTCCTCAAGCCTGCGGCCTGCTCGCTCAGTCCCATCCATCGCAGCTGCCACCGGGACACACTCCCGGCAGACCTCACTGACCAGCAGCCAGCTGGCAGAGGAGAAGAAGGAAGAGAAGACCTGGAAGGGGAGCATAGGTGAGTCCACCACCTTCGTGCTGGGATCTTAGAATCAAGACATTGACAGGCAGCCTCCCTGTCTCTGCTTTTCCCAGATGCCATGAGCATCTCCCAGTCTCTGTTCAGAAATCTATAGAATGGGGAGGAAAGTTGATTGTACCTTGATTGTGAAAATGAAATGGACACTGTGAATTCCCAAAGGCTACACCACCAGAGTGGCTGTAAGCCCTACAGTGTCACATACCATGATAATCATCTATTATTATTATTGAATGTGGAGCTATTCCTTTACAATGCAAAACACCTAGTGGGGGGAAAATAAATAGGTCCAGAACTTGCTTCTGCTCAGTCTATTATTTGACCATGGCACTTCTGGTCCAGCTTCTACAAAGGGAAGCCAATATCCACCGTGCTTCACCCCATGGAGCCATGGGAGGCAAGAGGGAGAAGGTGCAGAGAAAAGTTCATTGGAAGAAGTGCCCTCAAGTGTGCAGGTTTTTAATGATCGTTTTCACTGTATTGTTGCACGAGTGTGGTCTCAGCTAGGCACGAGCTCCCTTGTTGGGCTAGAGGCCTGGAGAAGAAACAGGCAGCATTCCCCCACACACATTCCTGCTGCCTTCCCCAGCACACTGGCATCCCCAGGGGTCCTGCCTTTCTTTGATGTGTGTCCCTGGGTCAGTGTGTTTTTGTTCCTCTGTGGAGCCCAGAGCCAATTTTCCCTAGAGGAGGCTGGCTGCTTTGTGCCAAAGGGGTTAAGAACTTCCATATGAAGCCAGCACACTTGAGGGGGGAATCAAAGACTTACAGCCAGAATCTCTGTTTGAAGTCCCTCCATTGGTGGCTTCAGCAGCCCCTGCCCTCAAAGGAAATGCACTTCAAAGAGGATGTGTGTGGACAGCAGCTGGGATCAGCCAAGACCCTTCCGAGGACACTTGGCCCCCCAGCTCAGATAGAGAGCAGGAGGTAGTACTCAGACCTGGGGAAGAAGGCAGAAATGTGCTCAATGCCAGTGCAAACCTCCCTGGAGGACTGTTTGACGTGCAGCCAGAGAGACATCTCCCTTGGTCGAAATCAATATCCTCCTGAATTTGGTCTACACCAGGCCTAGGAGACTGAGCACCTTAGTGTGATGGTAGATTGCTGTGTTCTCTAACCTGGTATTCCCCCTTATAACTACTGTTGGTACCCATTTGTCACCAAAACAGAGAGATGTGCAGCCTGGCCACAGGTGCAGTGGATGGCCCACTGTGCAGTTCCCCACTTGTTCTTACCATCTCTTGGTCTGTGGCCTCTGGCAGGAGATAGAGGAGATGGTGTGTCTCTTTAATTGTTCAGGAACTCCAAGGAGACACACACATACAAACGTCCTGTCAGACACCGGAGTTTCCATAGGCAGGAAATGAGGAGGAAAGAAACGTAGGATGCACTTCAAAGCAGGCACAACTGAGTTTGAATCCTGTCTCTGCTTCTTAGCTGTAAGGCGAAAGAAAAGACCCATCCGTGGGAATGTTGTATAATATAAAGTGGACAATATGTGAAGCACTGGGAGCTTGTAAGAAGGCCAGAACCTCCTGCCCCACCCACTTGGTGGAATCTTCCTGTAAACAGCCTCATGGTTTGAAGAATAGAGCTACAAATTCCCCAAACTCACAAGGGTACCTGAAAACAGCCCTAGTGAGGATGCACTATGCATGGCTTTTTTGTTAGTGAGATAGGTGGAAACATACTTGATTGTGCTTTCTGCTTTTCCTGTAGCATTCTGGAGGGTTGCCACTTTCCTGAACATTTGCTGTACTTACGAATAAGAAAGTTACCCTCCTGTCTGTCTGAGCACAAAGGGATTAAGGAAAATGAACACCTGCACATTTTGCATGTCCTTCTCATAGGCAGCATGCCCTCTCCTCCACCCCAGCCTCACTACTCTAGGAAGGAGAGCAAAGCAGCTGCTCATGGGCACCCAGCAGGCTTCCTGTTTTTTGGGGAGGTGGGAAGGCATGGTTTTCTAGTATAGGGAAATCTCTCAGGAAATAATGTGTACAATTCAGCGGTCCCACAAGCACTATAATGAAATGCCCAAGACAGGTTACTTTATAAAGAAAGAGGTTTACATAGAGTTTTGCAGCTTTAAGGGCAGGGTACCAGCACTGACTCAGCTCCAGGATGGGCCTTGGTGGCAGACTACATCATAGCACATGCAAGAAGGGGAGATGCAGCATCAAACAGGAGGGCAGAGAGCAAGTCAGGGATTGAGCTAACTCTTGCAACAGTTTGTTCTCGTTACCTGAATCCCCAAGTTTCCACAAGAGTTGCTTGAACCCTTTTCAAAGATAATTCCTTCACTGAACTAGACTCCTACCTTTGAAAGAGCTCACCATTTCCCAGCACCACCACCCTGAGACTACACCTCCAACATGTGAATCCGTGAGGACAAACCACATTCAAAGCAACATACCTGCCCAGGGAGCATGTCTAGTTTTGGACGGGACCTGGTGGAGATGATCAAGTGTTCTCTCAAGTGGAGGTAGGGTTGTAGATTGTTCAGAAGAGCTGCAGACCCACAGAGACATACCAAGGGCCAAGAAGACCCTTTAGTTTTTCTTAAACCACAGCCATTGCTTCAGGTCAGGCATCCTGAGCCATGCTGCAGGGCCTGCAGGAAACCTCACAGGCATCCCACCACACTTAGACTCTGATTGTTGGGTGCCTCTTGATGCTCCTGGGACCACCCTGGGAACAAATTTGTCCTGCACTTGATGATGTTCTGTCGTAACTAGATTGTTTGACAACTTCTCCACTGCCTAGGAAAGGGATGAGGTCACTCCTTAAAGTCCCTTTCATTTGATCATGCACATAATAAATGCATATTAAATGCTTGATGAATGAATCAATGAATGAGTGAAGCAGTCCTCAGCCAAGAAGCACGTGATCTCTCAGACAAGTTTTTGTCTGTTTCTTCAGAAAAAAAAGAGTGTCATTGAGAATACTGTTCTTCCGTCCTCAGGGTTGCTGCTGGGGAAGGAGCATCATGAACACACCTCAGCCCCCCTGCTGCCGACTCCCCCATCCTCAGCACTGGCCTCAACAGCCTCCGCCACTTCAGCCAGCAGTGCGCATGCCAAGACGGGCAGCAAGGACAGCAGCACCCAGACGGACAAGAACACTGAACTCCTCTGGCCCAACATGGCCTCCCTCCCCAGCCGGGGCAGGCTGAGCAACACCCCTTCCAACAGCCCTGTCCTGAAACACCCCGCGGCCAAAGGGGTGGCGGAGAAACTGGGTACGTGATGCCTCCCTCCTTCATACCATTCAGGAACCATGGCACTGCATGACCTGAGAGAACGAGCCTTGGTGAGCTGGAGAGGCAGCAGTTGCCAGCTCTCACTTTGTGACTGTGATCGTCCTGTCCTATTGCACTAGGCTGTGTGTGCATTTTATGTTGCAGGAATAAAATACAGGAGCAGATGTGGGCTGCAATAATTTGCTTTCACTTCAAATGAACACACAGTTTATAGTGTGTGCCTTGTAACTACTGCTTCCTCAGAAGGGGTCATAGAGACCCCTGTGGGGTGCTAAAAATTAAAATGTTTCGGAGCTAATGTTAGGCACCAGGTACATCCATATTATCAGGGATGTTGCCTTCAAGGCATTGACTTAACCAGGAACACTTACCTCCAGGGTGGAGGGTGGAGCTTGGGGAAGATTTTTTTTGTGTGTGTGTTTTTTATATCCCCTAAGACAGACAAATAAATAGAATTGTCTTTTTTTGTTTCACTTTTTACTTTTCTGGAGGTGAAATTCTTAGGATGCACTTTCCCATGTAAAACAAGGAACATGCAGGTAATTCCTTGCTTATAGTGAGCATGTCAGAGTCTAGGGACGGTGCTGTGAGAAGCTCTTGCAGAGTCCTGCTGTCATTCCCACCCACTGAACTCACTTCGTTTCACCGTTCACTTACCTTCCCTTGTGTGTGACTGCCTGGGCCAATCATTCAGTCATGAGCTACATTGTTTGACCTTCCCCCAGTAGTCACTGGGATTAGGGAGAAGCCTGGCTGGGACAGGGGCGCTTGCCATGGGTCCTCGCACAGAGCTTAATGTGTCTCCTCTCTTTGGCAGACACCTCTCCTGGCCACGGGAAGTCACCAGACCACAGGGGCCGCGTCAGCAGCTTGCTACACAGGCCCGAGCTCCCTGACGGAGAGATGATGGAAGTGCTCATCTAACTCTGCCATCCCCAGTAGCCTCCTGATGGAACCCTGATGGGCAAGGAGCGTGGCAGAGAGGAGAAGAAAGCTCAAGAAGGTTGTGGACGGGAAATCAGGAATGGTGCGAACTTAGAAGAGATGTCAGATCCACGGGAATGCTTTTGATAAAGGTTAGGAACAAAAATAAGAGACCTCCATGACTGAAGATGGAAGAGAATGCCACGGATTTTTATGACGTGTAGCGGAAGATAGAAAACGCATGTAGGTTTGGAAACACAGTTAAGTAGAAATAGGAAGTGGAATTTTTCTTTGCACAGAAAATGTATCTCTGGTTATAAACAGACAAACCTGAACATGGAGCTTCCTGGGAATAACCCCGTTCTCCTTGCGTCTGGCGTGTTTGGTTTAAGAACCTCTTAGAAATCCCTGGATCCATCTCGCTGAACTATGGTGCTGCTCGTGCTGCCCATGGGGTGTGCTGTAGGAGTGTGTGCTGTGAGGAGCAGCAGCCAGGGGTGAGGGGAACTTGAAAGGTGGGCTCCACCTCGTTAGCTGCCTGGCTTGGTTTTCCAGGAGGTTGTGAGGATTCTCTGCTTTTTTGGATTCAACAGTATTTTCTAAACAGGATGGATATGTTGGGATCTTAGACCTCCACTTCCCTAACTCCTCTGAGTTCATCTCTGTCTCAACTCCATCATTTTATGTTTGTTTTTGTTTCCAGCATTTTATTTTACTTGTAATCAGACTTGGCAGGATTTCTTAGGTCTGGGATTTGTAAGGGGCAGTTTTTGAAGTGTAATCAGCCCTGCTGTGTTCAGCCGTGGACGGTGACCAGGAATGACAAAGTCAGATGCTGGCTTGCTGGCTGTTTTCTCTGCTTTGCATTAATTGCATCCTGACCATGTGCTAGGTAGGCCCTGATGAAGCAGAAGGGTCCATGGCTCCCTCGGGAACATCTTGCATTAACATTATGGCCCTGGCCTTGTCAACGCTCATGTCAGCTTTGTAGTGAGGAGCACAAAATCGCCATAATTTTGTTCTGTAAGAGTAAAACTTTCAGGACAGCAGCCCAGGAAATGGCTGAGGGTTTGCCAACAGTTTTGTTTTGGTGCATGCAGAACCACGCACCGCTGTGAGACTTTATCCATGTTTCATACACCTGATGTCTCACACACCATGTCTCATGCTCCTCTTGGGCACTCCTCGGATAGCTGCAGATGAACGTGCAGACTTTTACATTTGGGTTTCTCTCTGCCAGCCACTTGATTTGTAACCTAACTGGCGTGTGAGTAAATTTTTGGAGGTTTCAGTTTTAGGAACTGCTTATCCAAAGTGAGACAGAAATGCCACGGAGAGATCCCAGAAGTAAACTGGGTGTTGGGCCTCTGTCCTGAGTTCTAAACTTGGCACAGAGAGCTCAGTCCTCCTCATGATGTTTCACAGGACTCCTCCGTTGGCTTTTTATACAAATGCAGGAGGTGCTGGATTAGAATAGAGGAAATGCTAATCAGGTCGCCACATGCTCTGGCAGGATTCTGCTATTTTCTCTGCAGGTCAGCTGGGTCTGTCTTTTCTCAAGTCCCAAAGTTAAAAAAAAAAAAATCTGCCTGAGATTTGTTCAAGTACCACCTCAATGAGACACTGAAGGCGATTCCTGGGAATCACACTTGGGAAGCTTCTTCTAGGATTTGTCTTAGGAGTATAACTCCGGGTGAAGTTACAGCCTTCCTGAGTTCCGGTGGTAGAAGGGAGACAGAGGTGATAGCTGAAGATGGGAAAAAACAAACCAGTGGCTTTGGCGAGACAGGTCTCTGAGCCACCCACAATGATAGATTAAACAGGTCCTGACTCTTGCGGTGGCTCTGTGCTGCCTCTTCAGCAGCAGAGTAAGTATTGTGCAGACTGGGAAACTGAGGCAGCTCCCAACAACTGAGCACTAAGTTCTCCCCATGATCTGTGGGGAGACCCTGGCAGTGAGAGGTGGAGTTGAGTGTGGATGTGGGAGTGAGTCCCCAGGACCCATCATCCCTGCTGTGTCATTGTTCCCTATCACCTAAATGGGAATGAGGTTTAGTTGATGGCAACTAACTCTTAAGGGCGTGATATCCATCCCCTGGCAGTGTTGGGAATGGATTAGAAAGGAAAGAAAATCATTGTTTCCAGCCTGCACCATGTATCTGGGCCACCCCATACCTTGGGCTGTCTCCCTGGCAACAGGTTAGTGCAAGAGACCAAGCCCTGTTTGTGGTTCTCCAGAAGACTCGACCTCACGCTCTAGACACTGCATTTTGGCGCCTGTGCGTATGAGAGTCACTCACTCTTCCAAGCTTCCCATACTTCTTTTGTTAGTTTGTCCTTTTTTTTTTTTTCTAATGCCAGTTGTTTTGATTGACAAAATACAAATAGGCACATCTCCATTTTCCAGTTGTCAACTACAGCTGTGCAGTAGCCTTTGTCCGCCTTTTTCCCCACTAACCCATTAGGCCTCTTCCTTGGGAGAGCAGTCTATAGCTTTAAAACATTTTCTGTTGCACCTGCCCTGCAGTAGCTTTCTTGAGCTTAGCTGGCATACAGGGAAAAGGGATCAGAGGTACTGAGCACTGGCTCTGGCTTCTGGCAGTTTACAGTATCTTATCTCGTTTGATCTTGAGAAAACCCCTGCTAGCTCTGTGTTTAGCGCTCTACGAAAGCGCCCTGGTATCTTCTAACAGTCTTCACATCACGTGGGGTTTGCATGCTTTTTATTATCCTGATGTCATGGATGCATAAATGGGCTCACAGAGGATGCATCCAGTCCCAGAGCCTCACACTCACGAGCTGGGATTGAAAACGGGGGTGTAGAAGAAGAGCCATGCCTACACCATAACTTGCTCTGCCCACCCTCCTTACCATGGTGTATGTTCCCTGTGTATACACTAATCTCAGAACTAGGTGGAAATCTCTGTGTTCCTTTAGAGGCACAGCTACTGCTTCCACCTGAAGAGTACTTCTACACTGTCCAGAGACCTGGACACTTCTTCAGAACCTCCCAGGAACACCTGGTTGTAGAACCTGAAGGTCCTGTCTCAGAGTGGCAGGGTGAAGGCTCTGGCGTGCTGAGAAGGTGTGCAGCAGGACCCTGCTGCATGCTCAGGGGCTTGCCTGGTGGTGTGTGCAAAGCCTTAGGGTATGGAATGCAATATGAGAAGTTCTTGGGCTCAGGTGTCTGATGCCAGAGTTTCACTAAGTGAATGGTTCTATACTTAAGAACTTTTTACTGTCTGCAGGGCCGTACAGTTAAGCTGCCAGGATAAACACATGATATTCCCAACGTGTCAGTGCATGTACACAACACTCACTTAGCATTGTCTTCTCTCTGCATTCTTTTTGCTTCACAGAAATTGGTAGGCAGCAGTGGGGTGGACTTCACACTCTAAGCACAGGTGCAGGTCAGGGCTTTCCGGAGGGTATGGAGTGGTGGAGCTTTTGTGGCCCTAAATGTGCCAAAGATGCCCTTTGGAACTCATGGACGAGTTGGACTGTGTAAGGCCTTGGAGTGGATATGGGAACAGTTGCTGCAAATGAGTTCTGAACTCGGCACAGAGAACTCAAAGGTTCTGTTGCTCGGGAAGGAGGTTCTCACAATGGTCCCTGTGGAGAAGCTGGTGGTCGCTGCTCCTTGTTCTCACCTGGATCTGCCCTCCGCCATCTGCATCCTCGTGACACAGCACCTGAAGCATGTTTGGGCTGATCGAGGGAGGACACTCGTCCCAGCAGCCTTCTGAGTCCCAGATCCTTGGGAATAACCCAGCAGAAACCTGCATTTAGGAGGCAGTGAGGAACACAAGGAGGCTTGAAAGATTTTGAAAAAGAGGGTTCCCATGTAGACCTCATGGAGCTGTGATGGGCAAAAAGATGGGTTCTTCTAAAACCAAAGACTGGCTGCACATGTGCGCTGGAGTGAGTGGAGTGTGCCCTCTGGATCATCTTGAACATCTCCTAGTCAGGAAGATGCCGTGGCCATAGTTGTAGAGATCCCATGAATGTTAGTAAATGGTAAAGGCTTTTAAGTAGACCGAGCATGTCCAGCTTCGCATTATCTTCTCCGCACCCCAAAAGCTGAGGCAGCCATGGCATGCGCTTTATAAATCTTCATTTCTTTGTCTCTCCCTTCCCAACCCCCACCAATTAATCAGTGTTTAAACTGCCTGCCTTTGATGTGAGAGTTTTGGTGGGGGAGAGGGGTGCCTTTGATGTGTTGCTCCCTGGGAGTTGCAAACAGTAATAAGGAAACTGCTGGAAACCTGTCAGCGGAGAGCATGCAGTGCTCAACATTTGAGTGACTGAATTTCTTTAGAAATAAATGAGCAGTGTTTTCTTATTTTTCAGTGGCATATCATCTCGCTTAGTAGTTGAATGCTACATAAAGATGTGTGTGAGTGCCTAAGTGTGAGATATGCCTACACTGTTGGTTGTGGATTTTCTCTTCTGAAAGTCCAAAAGATCCAAGTGTTTCTACTTACCCTGCTTTCCCATTGAGGTGTCCCATTGGGAGACTGATGAGTGCCATGCCACCCAAGTAGCAAAGGCATTTGGGGATGTCCTCTATTTAAATGGCTTTGGGGAACTGGCATGTTCCTTTGTTTCCACCAGATGAGAAGCTTTCAATCTCAGAGGATGGAGTTCAGTGCCCAAAATGATCCATTCATAGCACAATCGGAGGAATAAAGATGGCAGTTGAGGACATTTACATCATGTTTGTTTCTGAAAAGAAGTGTTCTGAAAAGTCATTGGTCTCCCAAAGTGATTGATTCGGGGGAGGGCAGTACCCGTTAGTTCAAGTAACCTGCAGTCATTTTAACAACCTGTTCCCCCGCCATGCCTAGCGTGTGTCCCCACCTCTGCACACGCTACAAGATGTGTAAGTGCATATTCCTTTGTACATATTCTGCAAGCTGGTGTTAGATTTAGATGCATGTTAGTGTCGTGTTATGCTGTGAGGAGGTATTTCTTTGTCATGAAACTGCTTCTTCACAGAATTAAGATTCTATGCTCCGTATAAAACAGCATATATACAGCGTTTTCTTCTGTCAACTCTCTGAAGTTTTGATGCCCAGTGTTGTGTTTACATGTGACTTTGCCTAGGATTCTGTTCACAGCTAGACACCTGTAAGTATTTATTATGAAACAGAATGTAAACAGGTTTGTCCACAGTGGCTTCATTTCAACAAAAATGTATTTCCTTTCTGAGGAGTGATGGCGGAACCTCCTGCTTCATGAAACATTTACGCAATCTGTGGAAATTTGTTAAACAAGGGCAAAGGGCAGGTACCAGTTTCAGCCAAAATGGTGACATCCCCAGTGCCAGTGTTTTTTCTGCCCACTCCATGTATGTGTGTTGCTGTGTCGGTGGCAGTATGCTGTGCTCTTCCGGAGACTTCCGTGCCTGGGGAACCTTGGGGCATCTTCGTGTTCCTAGAGAGGCGAGGTGCAGCCCAGAGGGCTTGCGTGTGCAGAGTGGGATGCGTTCCAGAACACAGCATGTCTGCCACGGCAACTGTGGATGCTGTGGGTTAGCCAAAGATTTTCCTGTCCTTTGCTGCTTAAATTTGTGCCTTATATTGTATATATTAATAAATGGATAAACTGAAAAACTGGCCTGGCCTTCCTGCTGGCTTGCTTATTTCTCCCAAAGAGGACATGTGAAACTGACGGCTTTGTAAATGTTTCCGTTTCCTCACTGCAGGAGACGGCTCCATTTCCTCTTCTGCCTCTGTGAGCATTTCACTGCCCACCTGTGTGCTGTGTTTTCCCCAATACTCAGCTTTTGATTTGGAGGAGGAAATGAGTCATCAGGACCGCTACAGCCTACCGCCCACCCACTCCCTGCTCCTCCAGACAAATAAGGAAACGGGAAATGCAGGCACTGGTGGGAGCAGGGAGATGGTGCCTCCTCTGATGATATCCAAGTGCCCTCTTAGGGGCTGTGGGGAGGGGTTTCTGGATTCAGAGCCTACCATTGACCACTGTAAACTGAACTGTGTCTTGGGAATTCACATCCTTGGCCTGAACCCTGGGCTGGAGTCACTCTTTTGTGCCCAGGGTGGAGAGGGGTAAGGGCACCTGCTCTGTTGGTGTCTCAGGGTCGGGAGTAAGAAGGTAAGTGGTCAGGGAAAGGTCATGTGGCAAGTTACTGAACTTCGGGCCAGAAGCCTAAGTGGCCTCCAGGATTCTGATGCTGCCGACACGTGTGGGGAGGGCGCAGTGCCTTTTCCAGCAAAAGACTCTGTCCCACGCCTGGCCAAAGCATGAGAAGAGCTCCCTCAGAGTTTGCTCAGGAGACGGTGGTGCATCCCTCTCTAAGTCCTGCAGTGATGATACGAGTGATCTCCCTCAGGCCTCACAACTCCCTAGTCCTGATGACCACGTTAAAGGCTAGTGAACAGCCTCAAACAACCTTGGGCAAAGAGGGCAGGGAGCTGAACCTAACTCTTGAGCACTGGCATGTGAAAGCAGGGTGTGCCAGGGAGGAGGGAGAGCCCCAGGACCCTTCTGCGTGGCACATATCTGTCCTGGCTTCCAGTCACAGGATCTGCAGGGAATCCTGTCTCAGTGTGTCTTATCCTCTTTCAGAATAAAGGGCTAAGTGCCACAGCTCCCCTGCCTCCACAGATTACCCTGGAAAGACAGCAAGACTACCATGTGCCAGCATCTCATATGAGTGTCAGCTTGTGTCCCAGTTGTTCCACTTCCCATCCAGCTCCCTGTTTGTGACCTGGGAAAGCAGTCAAGGATGGCCCAAAGCCTTAGGACCCTGCACCCAAGAGGGAGACCCGGGAGAAGCTCCTGGCTTCAAATTGGCTCAGCTCTGGCCCATGTAGCCATTTAGGGAGTGAACTGAAGGATAGAGGATCTTGCTCTCTGTCTCTTCTCTGTGTAAATCTGCCTTTCCAATGAAAATAATGGGGAAAAAATGAAATGCTCAATTCCAGCAGCTGGGGTCATCCCGTTCGGGTGTGCACTAGGGCTCATAGAGCTCTGGGTGCCTTGTGAATGCTGTCAGTTCATTGCAGTCAGAAGTTAGGCTGCAAATGAGAAATACACCAGAAGCCAGGAGATTTCTTTAGTTCAAACAGTTCTGCATTGTCAAGGAAAGGAGCTGTCTATCCTGAAGGACCGTTCGTCACTGTTTCATCAACATCAGTGTGTGTGCGTTGTGCTTCGTCTGTGTGCCCCATCCATGGCAGGCCGACAGCCCCATACCACCCAGAGGTTACAGCTGCTGCCTCTCCCTCAGGTTTTCATCCTCAAGACTCTGCTCTCAGTATTGTCAGAAGCTGTGTATGTGAGGATACTTGACATGTGT